TGTGTGTGTGTGTGTGTGTGTGTGTGTGTGTGTGTGTGTGTATGTGTATGCGTGTGCACGTGCGTGAGTGTGTGTTTACGTAAGCGTTGCCTTGTGTTGGCGTGCGTGCGTGCGTGCGTGCGTGCGTGCGTCAGTGCGTGCGTGTGTGTATCCCCCACCCTCGCGCGCGAGCGGTAAGATTGCCCCTATCAACCTCTCCACTTGAAACATAGAGCGCATAGAGGCATAGAGAGCAGAAGCAGAGAGCACCAGGTGAGTTAATTCACACAGCGCACCTAGACCCGAGCATAACGACAGGTCGGATTACGTTTCGACAACGTACGAACCGCCCACATTACACTAATTATAAGGGAGCGCAAACTGAGCCGCAAGGCTCCTACACTACCACTGCCAGCTAAGAGGGCAGTCATTCATTGAAACAGTGCGCCGCTAATACTGCACACTTCTTTTGTGTGCGGCTGCCAGTCGCCTAATGAACGGTGATATTATCACGGAAGTATCTAGATTGGTTTGTAATCCACGCATTATATCGCCGCGTAAGCACCTATGGTGTTATAACACGTTCGTTACGCCGCCGACGTCGTTCGCTATTCATGCTTCTGTTGTCCGCTGCAGAATGCATGTTCTTGCTTCGAAAATCCGACGTTGGCATTTCGATCGCAGCTAGGGCTTATATACCCCCGAAACGTGCGCGTATATTTGTTGCATATTAAGAGCGAGATATATACATATTTGCATAAGGACAATGCTACGCCCACATGTGCGAGATGTTACAGTGCGTGTCGTCGTTGTTTAGATCTCCAATAATCTCATGTTCGAAATTACGTAACAGGTTGATGACGCAGAATTATATATATATATATATATATATATATATATATATATATATATATATATATAATATATATATATCAGAGACACGCGCACCTGTGACGTCATTACGAAGATAACATATTCGACGATCTAAGAGATATTTTTGCATAAATAACTGCACAATCGAAAAATTTTTACATCGAAATATAGTTTCCCTTAATAACGAACATGTTACTGATTATTCCAGTAAAATTATTACGACTAGTTTATGCTGTTATGGTATATAAAATAGAAAATAATGCATATAGTGACAATTCACTTGAAATCGGCAACAACCAGACAAAATTGCATCTGAGTAACGTAATGCTTCTAGCCTAGTACATCATGTCTATTCCTTATTTCTAGTTACCATCGCCAACACCATGTAAATAAACAGATTTCAATCATTCAATATTTTGGAGAAAATAACGATGTACGATCTATATATATGCGTGCGCGTGTGTGTGTGATAGCGCGCTGCATACTGATAATAGAATAATCAATTATACCAATTCCATTATTGCTCGGGGACTATGAGCATTGTTATAGGGAGAACATAGACCAGAGAATATATTGACCTATATGTTACTTTTGCTACATAGATACCTAGTGTGATGTTAACCAAACTATTTGAAAAGTAACAGGTTCTAACACTCGATAAAAGAGAGAGTACTGCTGGGTGCGGTGCTTGTAGTTCCCCTGCATCCGTCTTTTCATCTTCATATCTTACGTCTGCATCTGTCGAAATAGTGAAGATTATGTATATGTCTTAGAACCTGGTACTATTCTCTCCAGTGCTATGATATCTAGGGCAGACTATTGCACTGCGACGTTTTTACTCTGCACAACATTCTTTCAAATTTGAATTCCGAATTTCATTCAAACGGTTTGCAGGCGTAGGGCGTAACACTGGTGGACACCCACCAACGTTATTAAACACATGAGCTGTGTACTGCCACCTAAGCCCACACCAAGCCACTGCTGCCCAAGAACGACGCTGCATACAGAACGCAGTATAGACGTATCGTGTATACTGGTGGTGCCGGCCCCGACTACTGTTGTGTGTTCCTATACTGTTGCCGATCACAAATATTAGCCTTTCCTGACCAAATATGTCCGTGACGAGAATCTTTGCGCCGGTGGCGGTGAGGCGGCAAGCGGCGCGGTGAAAGGCGGTGAATGTTTACCAAATAACATCGCGGTGTGTAGCGGTGTACGTGCGGCGGCA